CACACACACACACACACACACACACACACACACACACACAATTGAAGTGGTCTTACTCCTACTAATTTGCCCTATGTTGATTAATCTTTAAAATATATATATATATATATATATTTTTTTTTGGTTTTTGAGACAGGGTTTCTCTGTGTAGTTTTGGTTTCTGTCCTGGATCTTGCTCTGTAGACCAGGCTGGCCTTGAACTCACAGAGATCTGCTTGGCCCTGCCTCCTGAGTGCTAGGATTAAAGGCATGTGCCACACTGCCCAGCTAAAAATATATCTTTTTCATTTTTATTTTATGTATATAGATCTTTTGCCTGCATTTATGTCTCTGCACTGCTTGTGTGTCTGGCACCTCAGAAATTCCAAAGAGGATGTAGGATCCCTTAGAACTAGAGTTCCAGACAGTTGTGAGCTGCCATGTGGGTGCTTGGAATCAAACCCAGGTCATCTGGAAGAGCAGCCAGTGCACATAATTATTGAGCCATCTCTCCAGCTCCTGACAATTTAATTTATAGCCCAGCCAAACAACCTGGGAGACTACAGGAAGTCTATTTCCCTCCCCTCCACTTGTGTGTGTGTATACATACATACATACATACATACATATATATACATACACACACATATGGTAGATTTGTTTTCCTAGCTAAATTCAGTAGGTAAAGTGTACTTAGTGCTAATTAGCTAAATAGCAATGATGGACACGTACTGCAGTCTCTGAGAACCGGAAAACAGGGAAGCATGTCTATACTTACCTCCTCACACTTCCTCTTCTCACTTTCCAGTTGTTGGCAAAGGGTCTCTTGTTGCTGGGAACTGGCTGCTTCCCGCTGGTCCTCCTTATCCTGCAAGGTCCTCACTTGCCTCTGGAGCTCATTCATGTCCTGGTCCAGGACTACCCTGAGGGCAGTCAATGCACACCACTCACTCTGTGGACTGCCACACTCTGCAAATGGTTCCTAGACCCACAACTTTGGTGCCAGGCAGAGGGAGCCTGTGGGTCCAGCAGAGTGAGGTACAGTTATGTGTCTGCAAGGTAAAGGGACCCAGGCAAGGAACCTCCTACGTAATAGAAGCTTTTCCTTAACTCTCCCTCTTACCATCAAAACAGACCCATGAGGAAGAAATCATTTTCCTCATGGAAGAGATGAGAAAGATGCAGCACCAAGAACAGCTAGGACAAGGCTGAGGTGGGGCTCTGTTCCTGAATCCATATTCTTTCTTCCACAGTGCTTTACAGGTTGACCCCACAATCCCTGGCTCCACACATTGCTGGTACTGGTGCACACACACACGGAACCCTGCTGCGGCTGACTGACACACTGCTGGTACTGGTGCTCACACACACACACACACACACACACACACACACACACACACACACACACACACACGGCGCCCTGCTGCGGCTGACTCACGGACTGATGAGCTGCAGTGCTGGGGAGATTCGCCCGTCCTCATGAGCGCCATCAGCACCTGCTCTTCCAGAGAGACCTCTCAAACTACAGTTCCTGGAGAGACTTTTTGAGGATTGCAAACCGAGATTCCCCACATCCAGGCGAGTCATCTCGAAGAATAGGCTTCGATGAGGTTGGCGATGAGGAAATGGCACTGATGGGCATTAGGCTTCGATGAGGTGGCGATGAGGAAATGGCACTGATGGGCATTAGAGTCTGACACTGGACAGACCGCCTTGCCGTCTCTAATTGAAGCGGTCTAGGCAGCCGACAGGTTATTGGATGGTAGACCACGCGACCCTGACTCTTGGCTCTGCGCCTCTCGCTCTTGTGTCCCTTGGGTGGCAGTGCAGGCACTCTAAGGATTGTTGCAGCTTGATTCTGCCAGTCACGCCTAACCCCACACCGTCCTCACCGGGCTCTATCCCAATCACTATCTGTATATGTGACCAATCCCCGCTGTCATCATCTCTTTCTTCTTCATGCTTCTGTTTGGTAGCTAGTTAGATACTGGAAGACATCGGGGTTGGACTCTTCCTCCATAATCAGGAGCTTATAAATCCATGGACAGGAACAGTCGGACGTTAAGGACTGGCCAGGGGAATGGACCTAAGTCATGTCCCTCCTCTACGAGGAGACATGGCATCCAGAAGTACCTTGAACATCCTTAATAAGTATTGAAAGTGCTCTTAAGAGACCTGAACCTTACGGGATCACTGCACAGCAGGAGGCATTCTGGTAAAGAACAAGGACATACCATTGCCTTCTCCCTGGAAGGTCAATCTAGACAGGCCTGTCAGTCACTGGGATGGGAAAACTGTTTATTCTAGAGACTTCAGAAACAGTCTGAATGCTGCCTAAGATGCAGACTGGCGCAGTGGTCCCTTTGCAAATGCCTCCCCTGTTCTCTGCTAAACTGCCTGTCTATTACATCCCGCTCTGCAGGTCTCGTGTGAGTTCTGTTGCAGACATTTCACCAGGGCTGGGGAGCTGAGGGAAAACAGTGAGATCCAGTGACAGCTCCATCCCTAGTTTTGGTCCAGGGGCCTGGATAAGTGCTGAGCCCTGGAGCCGAAGTGAAATTGAGCTGCTGGAACTGAGAGGGACCTTGGGCTGTCTACAGCTGCAATCTGGGAGTTCAAACAGAAGATGAAAAATGGGAAGTCTGAATCAAAAAAGCAACTCAGGGATTTGCTAGGAACTACCAAATAGAACAGACACTTCACAAAATACATAGTTTTAGCGATGAAAGACTAGCAGGTCTTGAGACTGACAAGGTCCGACAAGATCCTCTGTTTTCCCTGTGGCCTGAATCTCTTCATCAACCCATCATTTACACAGTTTTCTTCCTCAGTCACAACTGAATCCCGGAACATCCTCCATTATTTTTCTGGTGTTGGCTATTGAACCCAGGGTCTCACACCTGCTAGGCAACTGTTCCACCACAGAGCTACAGTCCAAACTCCACAATCCCTTGCCTAAAATCCTTCAGTGGCTCCCCCTTGCGCTTACAAGAGAGCCCCAACTATTCAATGTGGCCCGTCCATCACCTCTGCATGAACCAGGCTACCTGGCTTTCTGGATTCATTTTCTCACCAGCCACTACTCTCCCAAACTCACGCAACCTTTCTATGTCTTCCTTCCTCGGCCTCTTCAACACCTCTCAGCCTCTCATGCTGACTGCTTCATTCTCACCCTCAGTGACTGTCACTGAGGAAGGCTCTCTCAAGCCCCCAGTTCCACAGATGGTCCTGCGGGGTACTCTCACGGCCTTCTGGACCTCTTCTAGCACGATGCCCACCACCTATCACTACAGTTAGAGTGCCTCAGGGCAAGGATGTTCATTCTAGCAGTATTCAAACTCGGCTTGAAGTGTTGACATTGCATCTATTTGTTTGTTTGTTTGCATGTGCCGTAGTTTTCATGTGCAGGTCAGAAGACAGTGTGTAGGAATCTGTTCTCTCCTTCCACCACGTGAGTTTCTGGCACTGAACTCAGATTGTCAGGCTTGGGGGTGAGGATCTTTACATGCTGGGGTATCTCACTGGCTCTCAAATTCCCTTAAATTTTTTTTTTATTGTATGTGTACATACGCGCACGTGAGTGAGTGAGTGAGTGAGTGAGTGTGTGTGTGTGTGTGTGTGTGTGTGTATACACATGTGTGGGGTGCACATAAGCCATGATGTGTGTGTATATATACACATGTGTGGGGTGCACATAAGCCATGATGTGTGTTTGTGTGTGTATACACATGTGTGGGGTACACATAAGCCATGATATGTGTGTGTGTGTGTGTGTGTGTGTGTGTGTGTGTGTGCACATACATGCATAAAAGTCAGATTTTGTGGAGTTGGTTCTCTCCTTTTCACGTTTCAGTGGGTTCAGGGGATTGAACTCAAAGAGTCAAGCTTGCTTAGCAACTGCTTAACCCACTGAGCCACCTCCCAGCCCCTCAAACTCCTTTTAAAATAACAAACAAACAGTTTTGGGGGCAGCGCTAAGATTGAATTCAGGCTTTGTGCATGATCGGTAGGCACTCCACCAGTGAGTTACAGCCTCAGCACTCACTGTAGTGTTATTTAGAGCAGAAAAACAAACAAACAAAAACTACAACATGTACGTTAAGCTCGGTGCAGTGGTGCACGACTGGAGTCCCATCTACACAGGAGGCTGAGGCAGGAGGATCACATGAGCTCAGGAGTTCAAGGCAAAGCCTGGACAACGTGGCAAAATTCTGTTGCAGACAACCAATCAACAGAAGTTATATTTCTGTGTATAGTCAGAGGTGTCCAGAGAACCGGAACCAATTAAACATGTACAGTAGGAATGTGTCGCATGAACTCACAGGGTCAGAGCTGAATTGAATAGTCAGCTGCTTCAGAGCTGCTCCATCTAAGAAGCCGGAAGCCTCAGAACACAAGGAGGTCAGTAGTGCAGCCCAGTTCCAGGCTGATGAGGGTCTGAAAGCTCCCAGGACAGCTGCTGGTACAGAGCCACATTCAGAGGGATCCAGGGTCCCTGCATTGTTCAGTGGGAGCCCCGCCCTTCAGAGATCGAGGTTCTCCTCCTCTCCCCTTCCCATTCCATCTGGGCCCCAAACTTTTGGAAGTTGCTGCTCATTAAGAGTGGGTCTCTTCCACTCAGGACGTCGACCCACAAGCCGAGCTTGTCTGGCAACCCCCACAGACACCCAGATGCATGTTTTGCTGGTGTTCTGGTCATCTCTAAAGCAGTCCAGTTGACAACCATGATTAATTGTCACTATGTAAGAGAATACTATACAACAATTTAAAATGATAGTATTTATGAAACTGTACACCATCAACAGGAAATTCCAGATGTCTGGAGTCAACAGACTCCTAAGTGTTGCAGAGGCAAGGATGTTTCATGAGGAGTCAGGAACATTTTGAATTAAATGAAAGAAGAACATACAGACTTTGTGGAATGCATCAGAAGCAGAGAAACTGGTACCAGTAAACATGTGTGTTATAAAGGAAGGGAAATCTAAAACCAAATACTCCAAGTTTTTGCCATAAGAAGCCAGAGAAGGACTAGCATTATAACCCCAGAACAAACGGAAGAAAAGTATAATACAAATGAGAACCTCAGCCAGGTGTGGTGCTATATGCCTGCAATTCCAGCCCCTGGAAGCTGAGGCAGAAGAACTGCTGTGAGTCTGAGGCAAGCTTGGGTATATAGTGAGTTCTAAGATAGCCTGGACTACAAAGTGAGACTCTGTTGTCTCAGACCAAGTGGGGTGCAGTGGCACACATGTAATCCCAGAACTCGGAAGGTGGCAACATAAGGATTGGAAGTTTAAGGCTAGCCTCAGCTATATAGTGAATCTGAGGCCAGCCTGGGCTACATGAGACCCTGTCAAGAAGTGTGGGGCAGTGGGGTGGGGGTAGACTGATAAATGGAATCAGGAAAAAAAGTAGAGAAAATGAAACAAAACCAAAGGTAGTTCTTTGAAAAGACCAATGCAAATGGACAAATCTCTATCTAGACAGGTGAACCAAGATGCACAGAACATAGAAATTATTAATACCAGAAATGAAACAGGGGCCGCCTCTATTGATCCCACAGATATTGAAAGGACAATAAAGGATATTATTATATCATTATAACATCATAACCAACTCTATGCCCACAGATCTGATAAGTCAGATGATGAATGGACTGAATTCTTTTGTTTTGTTTTGTTTTTGAGACAGAGTTTCTCTGTGCAGCTTTGTGCCTTTCCTGGAACTCACTCTGTAGCCCAGGCTGGCCTCTAACTCACAAAGATCCTCCTGCCTCAGCCTCCCGAGTGCTGGAATTAAAGGCGTGCATCACCATGCCCCGCCTTTTTTATTGTTGTTGTTGTTTTTGAGGGAATTCTTGAAAGATGTAAACAATGTAAAGTCACATAAGGAAAAACAGACGACATGGCCACCGATCGCTATATCCACTATAGAAACTGAATTCTGGGGGCTGGAGAGATGGCTCAGAGCTTAAGAGCACTGACTGCTCTTCCAGAGGTCCTGAGTTCAATTCCCAGCAACCACATGGTGGCTCACAACCATCTGTAATGAGATCTGGCACCCTCTTTGTATACATAATAAATAAATAAATCTAAAAAAAAAAAAAAGAAAAAAGAAACTGAATTCTGCTGAGAGTGGTGTGCTCACGTGTGGTCCCTGAAACCTGGGACACTGAAGCAGGAACATCCCTTGATCCCACACGTTTGGGACCAGCCTGGGTAAGACTTTCACCACAGTAAAAAAGAGTGAGGGCCTGGGAAGATGGCTATGTTGGTGAAGTGCTGGGAACCAAATCCCAGTCCTCTACAAGAGCAGCCAGTGCTTTTAACCACTTAACCACCTGTCCACCTCACCCCAGCCCCTCCATCTCATTTTTAAAATGGGGGTTTTCTTAGTTCTGCTATCTGGACTTGTGGCAAGCTTGCTGGCACTTCCTGGGTGCATGACTGATATGGTTATCTGCCCTTCGACCTGCAAGCATTATCATCCATCAGAGCTGTGTCAGCTCAGGGTACGCTTGTCTTTGGGGTGTCCTGCTGCTCTCTTGTGAGCAGCACTATCTAGGATCTAACTGCACTATGACAGGTTAGCCCACCATCTTTCGAGACATGGCAGGTGAGGCAAGTGTTTTCCCACGGCCTCTCATTGAGTGTATTCAGTCTTCATTCATACAGATATCCAGCCAGTCGCATACTCAAACATTCATCCATTCAACAAATAAATACTCAGTAGTATTTTGGGCTAGGCCCAAGCATAGAACTCCTAAGTATAGCTGGAAGTAAGATTCTGAGCTACAAAGTATGTGTGAACATCTCTGTGAGTTTTTAGTGGATAATATATTTTTTTTCTCAAAATATGTATGACTCATTTGAACATCATACAAATGAGAAGCACTGTCATTAAGGCCCAGGGCATCCAAAAGAATGTTCTAAGTCAGAACTGTAACACTTATTTTGGGTGGGGGGAAGCGACAGCTCTTATCCTTGAGCAGTTTGTTGATGCCAAAGATTCCAATAATGATCCAGAACTATCTGGAAGAACATGAGCCAATGGATAAAAAAATATAACTTCAATGAAGCCTGAATTCGTGCAGATCCTATCAGAGAGTTAGGCAAGCAACGCGTTAGATTTCACAGGTTAATCCATTTACAGCAATCTCCCGGTGTCCCAGGCAGGTCCTCCGCCCCAGGGGCCCCACCCCGGCGGTCCTTACCTCCTCTGCTGTTCCTCCTGTAACTGCTGCTGCAGTCTAGCCTCACTGCTCTTGGACTCCTTGATCTCCTCCTCCAGTTGCTTCTTCAGCAAAACACAAGCATCTGAAAGGCAGACTTGTCCAGCATGGTCTAGTTTCTGCTGCAGGTCCAAAATCTTGGATGAAAAAGTAAAACATTGTGGAGGGTGTAATCCTTTTCCACCACAAACTCTATGCTAAACTGAACGGTAGCAGGTACCTGTGATAGGAGACGGGAGGGGCTGTTAGGGGCTCCTTCCTAGTCTGTGCTACAAAGATATTCTCAGGCTTCACACCGTGAAGAAAAGGAATCTGCACATGCATGTTGTTGGCAGCTTAGCATGAACATGTTGTTAATGGTTTATGTGTTCTAATCTCCCCCCCCCCACACACACACACACCGGTCTGGGTGCCCTGGAGGGGACAAGGTAGAGACTAAATTGACTCAGCGCTCCAAGTACCTGAGCAAAACCATCCAAAGGACAAGGGAAGAATGAGGGTGATAATGAGGGGCACAGATACTATGGGTACCAGAAGACGTCTACGCCCCTGAGCAGAGCGGCCAGCCAGGCCTCACTCTCAAGTGCCTGCCTGCTTGCCCCTGTTCTGCCTCTCTGTCTCCCATGTAATCACTGGCTAGAGGTTGAGACAGAAGACAGTTTTTTTCAGATGTTAATGCACCATCTTCTCAGATTGCTAGCTCTCCAAATAAAGCAAAGGTTGTGTTTTGTTTGTTTTGTCTCCCTGTGTAGCCTTGGCTGGCCCAGAACTGGCTGTGTAGACCAGGCTGCCCTCAAATTCAGAGATCCACCTGTTTGAAGGCGTGCACCACCACACCCAGCAAAATGTGCAGTTTTAGGATTCAGTTCCTGTCTCTTGATCACTGGCTTCTGCAAGTGACAGGCAGCAAGAGCGAGCTCCTGGTGTCCTGGTCATGTCCATTGTCCATTGCTGCAGTTGCGGGCTAGTGTGTACGCATACAGCAGCTTGTCTGCTGTATCCTGTGGCAGTGTGCAGTATGCTGTTTGGAAGAGGAATGCAGCCTCATCTCCTGACACACATCTGCTGTTTAGTAGTTTCAAGGCAGGAAGACAGCAATAGAGGGGGCTATCTACACACACACACACACACACACACGCACACGCACACGCACACGCACACGCACACACACCCACACACAACTGTCGTATTCTATTGGGTTTTGTTGTTGTTGTTGTTCGTTTTTGTTTTTTGAGACAGGATTTCTCTGTGTGTAGCACTGGCTTTCCTGGAACTCATTCTATAGACCAGGCTGGCCTTGAACTCAGAGATCTGCCTGCCTCTGCCTCCCAAGTGCTGGGATTAAAGACATGTGTCACTACTGCCTAGCTGTTATAGTCTATTGATACTTGATGTTAAGCAATCCAAAATGCAGGGGCAGTCTTAGAAAATAGCTAATTCTACAACAAAAATCTTAAAATTATTTACTGATCTTGAAAACAACCTGGGGTCAGTTCCCAGCACCCACATGGCAGCTCTCAACCATCTGTAACTCCAGTCCCAGGGGTTCAAGCCCTCTTGTGACCTTCTCAGGCACCAGACATGTATGTGGTGCACATACATACATACATGCAGGCAAAACACTCATACACATACAATAAAATAAATAAGTCTATTTTTTAGAGGTTATAAAATAAAAATCATATAAAGAGCCAATTCAAATAAGAGAAAATAAATTCTTTAATATTAAAAAAGTATAAATATCCTGTGGCTTCAATCAGTTTTAAGTTCATGTTATAGCATATATATACATACATACATGTGTGTGTATGTGTGCACATGCACACACATGTGTGTACCGGTGCATGGAGACCAATCAAGAGTTGATAAGGGGTGTCCTCCTCTGTCTCTCTCCATCCTATTTTTTGAGGCAGGGTCTCTTGCTGGCCTGGAGCTATTTCAGCTAGGCTGGTTGGCCAGCCAGGTCCAGGGAACCCTCCTGTTTCTGTTTCTCCAAAGCTGGGATGTATAGGCATGCACTGTGGGTTCTGGGGATTCGAACTCAGGTCCTCACGCCTGTGTGGCGAGCATTTTACTGACTGAGCCATCTCCTCAGTCCCAGAAATTTACATTTTTAACTTCATACATTTTTCAAAAATATACAAGGCTTATTAGAATGATAGGGGCAGATGGAATAAAATTATGAAAAAGAGGAAAAGACAGGGAGAGGAAAGGAAAGGATTAGCCCATGCCCAGGTTTGCACACAGCTGTCTCTTAAGGTCCTCAGGGAGCAGGGCTCTAGACGTGTACACATTTGCTTCTTGAGCGTGAAGATAATTACCTTTTCCTGAGCATCGGCCACTTTGGATTTCTCCCAAGCCAGCTTCTCCTGAAGGCTCTGCTGGGATTTGATGCTCCGCGCCTGCTTGAGTCCCTCCAGCTCCAGCTCCTTGACTCTCTGCTGACAGTGCTTCCACTCGGCCGTGAGTGAAGAGTGCATCCTGGCGCTGTCTAGCAACTTCTCCTGGGCCTGCTTGAGTTCGATTTTGATCTAGAGACGGGGCAAAAATAAAAATCATAGAAACAGGGCTGGGGATGCAGTTAAATAGTAGACAGTGTGCCTACCCTTTCTGAGGCGCTGGGTTGGAGACCCAGAGCATACACGCGCGTGCACGAGCACACACACACACACACACACACACACACACACACACACACACACAGATAAAAATAAACATGGTTGCTGTCCCGATGGCTCAATCAGTAAAGGTGCTTGGCACCACGCTTGATGGCCTGCATTAAATCCACTGGATGCTACATGATGGAAGCAGAGAACTGACTCCCAAAAGTTGTCCTTTGACCTCTGTGTGTGTGCCACGGCACATGTGTGCCACACTCACACACATGCATCACACACACAATTATATTATTATGAATGATGATAATAATAGACTTCAAGGAGGTATCACTATACGTATATACGATTAGCCAGTAAGTTTTGAAGTGTGACAGTTCCAGGAACTGGTGAGGATGTAAGTGAGGCTAGTTCTTCAACAGTGCAGAGAGAAACAGACCAGACAAACACGTGTGTAAACTATGCACTGTCCCTGTAGTTGAACGATCTCACTCTGCTCTCTTCCCAGAGAGTTTACACTTACAGACATTAGCACGCACACTTGGGCGAACATGTCAGTGTCCTTTAAAAAGTGGAAAGACAAACTAGCAACCCTAATTGTTTATACTACACAGGAAAGGGTGCTACATTCATGAGTTGGGCATTTCTGAAATAATGAGCGTCACTAATTCCCAAAGACAAGAGAAATGCCATCTCCAAAGATGTTGATGGACATGTCAAAGTCAAGCCTCACGGGGAAGAAAATATATGAAGAAATCACAACCTAAGAGCCAAATGCTTCCCTGTAATTGATGGGTCAAAGGTCAATGGGAAACAAGATATCACTAGCCTTGTCTCTATAACAACACAAAGGAATTCTAGATTGAGCATTAATGAGTGGTCCTTTTCCCAGTGAACACTTACTTTTTCTCCCCATTAACCAGTGCAATGTCTCAGTTCTCCTCATGTTCTCATTGGGTAGAACTGACACAGGGGCGATACTACTGGAGGGTTGGTGGCACTTCTGAAACATTATTGACAAACTATTAACATTACTAACAAATCTGTTAATGTTCCATCTCTTCTCAAAAGGAACTCTGGCCTATCAGAAACCTGGAGTTTTCATTTACAAGCATAACCTTGCTGCAAGAAAAGTCCAACAGGTGAGCAGGGCACTGGACTCCAGGAAAGGAAGAAGCAAATGGTGGGGTACTTGGTGCCCCGGATGGGCTCAGGGTCATGAAACCTAAGCCTCTCGTTGTTAATGAGGAGGTCACCGGTCCTTTCCCAGCACACTGTCCGTGGACTCCACAGGCCAGGAAAGCGGAGCGCTGTGAGAGTCAGGGGTGGAGCCCACAGAACGGTGTAGAGATGCTACTGATGTCAGATGGCACCAGTGTCAAAGCTGTCAAGCCGGTGACCTCTGCCTCCAGGGAAGCCTCTGCAGCCCAGAGAGGACCCTGTCCAGTGTCTCAGTGTTGCCGGTGGCACGGAGCGTATGTGAGAAGGTGACTGGGATGCAGCGGGGAAAGTCTGCGGGGCCGCCAGTGTGCTGGGTTGGCTCTACGTCATTCTAGGTGGTGTCCGCAGACGTTCACTGTGTAACCTGTTAGACTGCACATCAGTATTTTATCCACACTCGTTGTAGTACAACCTACAACAACATGCTTCAAAGGCAATGAAGTCAGTATTCTGGGACGTTAGTTACTCTAGTAAGCACACCTAACAGTAGAGAGCCAGAGTTGGATCATCTGAGTGGATTCTAGGAAATCAGTCCTGCAGTGGTTAAAAGCGCTTTTGCAACACATTCTCACAGCCACATGTAACTCCTATCAGGCTATCCAAGGCCTCTGGCCTCTATGAGTGCTAACACTCATGTACGTATACACACATGCACACATACTTACATGTGCACACATCCATACACACACACACACACACACACCAGCACACACCCATACACACCACACACATTCATGCACACACACCACACAAACATACACACACATGCATGCACATACCCCATGCATGTACAAACACACAAACACACACACACACACACACACACACACACACACACACTCCCTGTGTTTGCAAAGTTGAGGTCTCAAAATGACTCCAAGCTGAGGAGAGGTGTAAGGTGGAAAGTCAAACCCACCCATGTTTCAGTTCAGACTCTGTGGTCTGTTAGCTTTGCAACCCTGGTGCCCTAACAACTGTGAGGAGGTTTGTGAGACATAAGGTGGACCTGAACGTCAATGGCAGTTACTGTATGCGACGCTGATGCATGCCTGCTTCCAAGGGAGAGACTTCAAACAGCGAAAGGCATCATTTATCCATTTCCGGAAGACAGCCCATTCAATCCATATTTATAAGGGGCCAATTAGGACGTGTCTTTCTAGTCATAGTTTCACAAGGAAGATATGGGATTGCTTGAGGATGTTCAGAGTCCCACAGTTAAGCTTGTGACCTCAGCATTTGACAGGTGAAGACAGGATGATGAGGAGTTTAAGGCCAGTGTTGGCTTCATAGTGAGTCCAAGATCAGCCTGGTCTACAAGATACTGTCTCAAAACCAAACAAACTGCTCTGAGAGGCTTCAATTTGACAGTCCAGGCTTCTGCCACTCCCAGTTTGGCAGAACTGGGGATTAAACCCAGGGCCTTGAACATGCTAGGCAAGCACTCTGCCACCGAGCTATATTCCCAGCCCCTGAATATTCAAATTCAGAACCTTATATAAGATACATTAGATTATACAAGATACATTCTAAGATAATTAGAAACCAAGTCTGTAATGTACATTTATAGAACTGAATTGTAACTGGAAGGACACATTATTTACATGGTGCCTTGTTCTGAACAATCATGTGTTTCAAAAAACATCTGTGAATCTGTGACCCTCCTATGGATGCGTCTACTGGGGGGAAATCCAGCTGGCTAGATCCAACTATTGTCGGGGGAACAGTAACTGAAATGAAATCAAACATTAAAAAGTTTGTGATAAAGAGCTCAACAGACCACATCACTATAACCCTTTTCCTGTTTGGGGACTGATAGTATGCATACCTTGCTGGCAGCAGAGAAGATGGAAGAAGGGAATTAAGAAACAGCTGACTGGGCTGGAGAGATGGCTCAGAAGCTGAGAGCATGGGCCGGAGATCCTGAGTTCAAGTCCCAGCAACCACATGGTGGCTCACTACCATCTATAATGAGATCTGGTGCCCTCTTCTGGCACGCAAGCATGCATGCAGGCAGAACACTATAATAAATAATTTTTTTTTTCGAGACAGTTTCTCTGGGTAGCTTTGGAGCCTATCCTGGAACTCACTCTGTAGACCAGGCTGGCCTCAAACTCAAAGAGATCCTCCTGCCTCTGTCTCCTGAGTGCTGGGATTAGAGGCGTGCACCACCATGCCTGCTCTATAATAAATAAATAAATAAATAAATCTTTTAAGAAAGAAGGGAGGGAGGAAGGAAGGGAGGAAGGAAAGAAAGAAAAAAGGAAGGAAGGAAGGAAGGAAAGGAAGGAAGGGAGGAAGGGAGGAAGGAAAGAAAGAAAAAAGGAAGGAAGGAAGGAAGGAAGGAAGGAAAGGAAGGAAGGGAAGAAGGGAGGAAGGAAAGAAAGAAAAAAGGAAGGAAGGAAGGAAGGAAGGAAGGAAGGAAGGAAGGAAAGGAAGGGAGAAAGAAAGAAAGAAACTCACCTTGACGTTTTCCTCCTGAAGCAGACTGTTGTGCTGTTTGAAGTCCAGGCTCCTGCCGCGCTCATACCGCAGCTCCTTTTCAGCTGAGCTGCACAGGACCTGGAGGCGGTTCAGCTTCTGGCGCAGTTGCTGCACTTCCCCCTGATGCTGGTAGTTCGCTCTCTCTCCAGACGTTAGGTACTGAGGCAAACATTTAAAGAGAGGAACGTACTCAGAGAGCACTGGTGGCCTGTGGGTTCAAGCTGCCAGCACAACCGTAGGAATCTGAGCGCTCACCTACAGAGGTTTGGGGTGTTGGTCCATTCACCTATCACAAACGATGCGTCTACACCTACGGCTGCTTGGTGATGCTCCCATAATCCAAAAGCTTCTACACTGGCATAAAAAGGCCAGCAAATTATGGGAACAAAAGCAGCGGTGCATGGACAATTAACCTTTCTAATGTCTTATATCGATGAAAGGCAAACAGAATAGAGGACTGTAAAGCAAAACACCCATTCTTGAGTCTCAGAACAAAAAAATTCCTTAAAAATTAAAACAACCAGGAACCCATACTATTTTGTAGTTGTTAAAAAACACTTAATTTAAACTTGTATTTTATTTGATGTCTACGGGCATTTGCCTGCATGTATGCCTGTGCACTGCTTATATGCCTGATGCCTGTGGAGGTCAGAGGTGTGTCAGATCCCCCTGGAACTGGACTTACAGACAGTTGTGAGCTGCCATGTGGGTGCTGGGAGTCAAACCTGGGTCCTCTGAAAGAGCAGCCAGTGCTCTTAACTGCTGAGACACCTCTCCAGCTCCACATTTCATTCTTTAATTTTAATTTTCATTAGTGTGTGTGTGTGTGTGTGTGTGTGTGTGTGTGCACATGTACACATGATGCCATGGTGTATGTGTGGCATCCAGAGGACAACTCTCAGGAGTTTTTTCTCTCCTTCCACCATATGGATTCTGGAGATGAAACTCAAGTCATTAGGTTGAAGAGCCCAGCTTAAAAAAAATAAATAAAATAAAAAATTAAATAAAAATAAAAATAAAAATAAAATTAAATACAAACCAAAGTTCAAATACTGGTTTCATAGGAAGATCATTTCTGTTATGGATTCAGGCATTAAATCCTCCCATCCAGGGATGTGGATGGTGTGGGCCAGAAAATAAATGAGTCACCAAACCAAGCCCTTTATGGTCCTCAGCCAAGCATCCTTCAGAATTTGATTCTGTTTTTTGTTTTTTTTCCCCTTTCCAAGACAAGGTTTCTCTGTGAAACCCTGGCTGTGCTGGAACTCACTCTGTAGACCAGGCTGGCCTCAAACTCAGAGATCTTCCTGCCTCTGCCTCCTGAGTGCTGGGATTAAAGGCGTGCACCACCACCACTGGGCTCAGAATTGATTCTTTCTTAGCTCTTTATACGAAGAGACTTCATTGTTTATTTAAATGTACTCATGTGATATTTCAAATTAATTACTTCATAAAAATAGTTACTTGGTATTCTGGTTTTATCCAAAAGCCTTGACAGTCTGATCAATTTCAGTTAATCCCTAGGACACAGATTTTATCCTAGGTCAGCTAAAACATCAAGTCTGGGATCCAACTTGGGATAAATTCACAAACATAATTTATGATACCATGGGAGGCTTTGGGGAGGCAGCTCACTATCTTCTTTGGGACAACTGGTGTGAGAATTGTATGCTTTCTGTGGGTTGTTAGCGAAAGCAAGTGCTGTGGGATGTCTTTCTGTATGCTGTGAATATGTGTTGCTCTGATTGGTTGGTAAATAAAGCTGCATTGGCCTATGGCAAGGCAGCTTAGAGGCAGGCGGGAAATCCAAGCAGATATACGGGGAGAAGAAAGGAGAGAGTAGAGATGCCAGTCGCCGCCAAAGGAGCAGCAACATGCCAGCAGACTGGTAACACCACAACCATGTGCAAAACATAGATGAATAGAAACGGGTTAATTTAAGATGATAGAGCTAGCTAGCAAGAAACTTAAGCCATTGGCCATACAGTTTGTAAATAATATTAAGCATCTGAGTGATTATTTTATAAGCAACTGCAGGACCACGAGGCAGGCAGAACTAGAGAGAACTTACCACTATAGGGAAGCAATTGGAGAAGCAGCCCAAGAATCAAGCTCTAGACCCTGGAGGAAGAAGACTGGGGTTTCACTACTTCCTCAATGTGGGTAAATACCACCTATCTCATTCCAAAGCCTCCGTTCCTCCACCTGTAAGATGCACTGATTACATTCCTTTCTCATCGTATCGCTTAATGCACATGGGTGGTTTAATGTGGGACCCAGAGCACAGCAAAATACCCAAACATTAGCAACCGTTTTAGGCCTACAAAATTAACATAATAACTGCTTCCAACTTGGTTCAAGAGTAGTAGGAAAGTACCCTCCCCTGGACTAGTGTTAACCAAACCCATCAGCATCCACAGCTGACATCACAAAATACTTCGGACTGATATAACTCACAGGCTTGCTCATGAGAGAGGCTCCCACAAGTCTTTTCCTATTTATAAGCATTCTGAGAAGTTTAGCATCTGGCTGGTGTGTTGTTA